CATTCATGCACAATATTTAGAAAGGTATGTGCCAAGTAAGTAAAAGCAAAAACACTTGCAGAATAATAGATTGTTTGTAATCTTAACCATTTGGGGTGAAACTTAAAAGTTAAATAATTTGTTCTAGACAATTTTAAATGAAATTTACTGTACTGTTATTCACTGGTGAAGGCCAAACAACAGTCCAGTAACACATTCCATAATCTGATGGGATACTGTAAAAATTTCAACAAGATTTAAATAATAAAGTTTTAACAAAAAATTACTTCGTCATTTTGACTGATCAAATCAGTTTTCATAAAAATGGAAACGTTGCATTGTTTGTTTGTTATCACAATGTAACATCTCCAGCCAAACACTTGTGAGGTTTCTTGAGCAGATTCTGATCGCGACTGAGTTAGCACTACAGAAATGACTTGCAGTTTATTGCACAAATATGTAAAATACATTTCATCTGTTCTCAAAATGAAAACAGTTAAAATGCTGTCAATACTCATTTTACTTTTTAAAAATATGCTAATCTTTGAAAAAAATCTTGCAGCATAAACAACGGCACTAGATTGTACTGCTGTTTCAATAATAAAATTTACTCTCATAATGCATTTTGCAAGATGTCAGTACATAATTTTGATATCTTAACAGTTTATTTATTCATTCAATACACAGTTCAACGGGCAAACCCATTAACAGAACTGGAAAAAATAAACCATACAAATACAAGAATAAGCAAATATACATCAAAATGACAAAGTAACAAAATAAAATTAAAAATAATTTTATAGTACAGATTTAAAACTATATAAAGATGAAAAAATATCAATATTACATTTAAATGAAATGTCATTTAATAATGTCATACACATTAAAAGTGACGAATGCTTCCTGCAGTTGACTGATCCACAGTCAGGTTTAAAAAATGGTTTGCGTCTCACACACCTATTTGGAACATAAAAGTAAATTATGGGCATGGCAGTAATTAGAAGAATTAACAATTTTATATAAAAAAAAGAGAAGATCAAAGAGGAATGTAACATAACTTTCTACATAAATATTTAACAAATTTAAATTGCACATTTTCAATTTAAGTAAATGGGAGTTTACGCAGTAGTAATAACATTGTACCCACCAACATCCTAGTCTTTGTGGGAATGTGGAATAGAGTGATATGGGTACTACTACTGGTTTGTAAAGCTTACTGGTGGGGCATGTGTGCATGGAACTGCAGTTTTGCAAAATTGCTATCAAAAATATGTTTAAAAATGAAGACAAAACAGGTCAAGTTGCTGTTCAGCCAATAGTATGTAATCATCCCCTGAAGGCAATTTGCTTGGCCAAAATCAACAAATTTATTTTGTTCTTCCAGCCAGTTTCATGAGTCTGTGTACAGAAATATAAACTTTCTTCACTTTTAACACTTTGTTAACAGGATGGCACCGTGGAATAGGGTCCGTTCTGTACACTGATGCTACTGTGTATATGACGAAGCCCTATCAGGACCAAAGTGCTGCAGAAACACGCTATACCAATTGTAACATGTTTCTTTTTTTGATATTTCATTATAAATCAAATCATGGCTAATTTCATAAATGCTGAAACCGAATGTGTATTCGTGTAACTTGTCTGAAAAAATGGCGTGAAACATCTCCATTCCTGGAGTTTGTTCCTGTTTCAGTATGTACAGAGAGTCTAGACTGGGCATACCATTTATATCATAAGGTTGAAAGATGCAATTGTATGTGAATTATGAGGATTACTTTTGTTTGGATTTATTGCCAAAGTAGTTAATAACTGTCGATTTAGACAGAAATTCTATACATTTTTTCTTACTTTTGTTTGATAAACATAACCTTTAAAGCAATTTTTTAGCCCAATCTGAAGGGTTGAATGTACTCCTACAAATAAGCGACATACACTAAGTTGTTTAGATTAACCTATCAGTTGGCCACATGTCAGTTAGCTGTTTTGCAATTTAGGTAGCAAATTTGATAGCAGTCTTGCAAAACTGCTTTTCCATGCACATGTGCCCCACCAGTAATTATTGATAGGGTTTTTAACTCTCTGTAAATTTTCCTTTACAAACCAGTGCTCCTGCCACATCAATTTTTTTGAAATTAAAGCCAGTGAGTATTTCCCCTTAGCAGTAGGAGCTGTGTTTCTACACTATGTGAGGGTGCCCTCTAGTGGGTGGTGGGGTTATACTTTTGTTTTCATATAATGGCTTCCTTCACAAAGCAAAAAATTTAAAACCTAGTGAATATCCTGCTACATAAAATTTTATAAAATTAAAGCCAGTGAGTATTTTCCTTTTGACAGTAGGAGCTTTGTTTCTACACTATGTGAGGGTGTCCTCTAGTGGGCAGTGGGGGGTTATACCTTTGTTTTTTTTATCCTGGCATGAGGCAGTAATTTAAACCATGCATTATGATGTATTCCAAACACATCCTGCAATATGGTAAGTATGTTTTTACTTTACTGTACTATGTAAACTTCTCTTTCTCTATTGAAAGTGGGGTTATGTGGGGAGTTATTTGTCTTGTAAACCTTTGAGTAATAAGCTGTGTTGTTGGCAAAACCCAGTTGAAAGCCCCCTGAAGTTTCGAGTAACTTAGCCAAAAATGAAATCTTGAATGTTACAACATGCTCAAATTATACTGCTCTGTCTTTACTATAATACATCCCACCTTTCTGCATCGAGTGTGTGAGGTAAGAACAAAACAATCTAGAAAGAACCTGACGACACACTAAGATGCTGAAAACTCAATCACAACTGAATCTACAGTAAGGCTTGGTGATATTCAATTATTGGCTAGACACTTGAATCATTGCAAAAACTGTAACTGATATATTTATTATAGATTCACATGTCTATTGCCAACAATACAACTTGAATTACTATTATTAATTATTAAACTTTATTTCAGAATAAAAGTGAATATACAATATTTCATATCAGAATTATTTAAAAATACCAGTATTAAAATATTTTCTTGATTTCAAGTTAGTTTCTCCATCACAATTTTCAGTTTGATACTATTGGGAAAAATAAAACTGTTTCCATGGAAATAGGTGTCGCGCGCAGTTATCTAACATGAACAAATTTTACTTTCTGTATGATGTTCTCCAAGCTAGTTTGTAATTTCAGACATTGTTTTGATAACCACGAGTTGAGTCCTGAGAGACTAGATCGGTTTCTGTAGCAACCGTGACGCTATATCCAAACGTTCGCTACATTGTTTCCCATTGCGTTCTCGTGGTACTTGTCTGTTTACCGCCCAAAATTCCCACCAAAGTTCTCCCTCGTGTTAGTCGCGTGTCACTCCTAATATGGAATGACAGCGCTATGTTTCGTTTGTATGC